TCCACATTAACAGCTACCCTTATGGTCTACAAGGCAAGACCTTTCATTGTTTTCCAACAGGAGCTGCAGTGGCTGCTTGCTGTTGAGGACTTTGGCAATGAAACCTACAGACCAGAGAGCTTTGCTTGAGACCAAAATACCACCAAGGAAAGGACAAGCATTCTTATCAATGAGCAAGAGAGCAGTACCCGTGTCTAATAAGTACAGGGTTTCACAAACAATGCACTCTAAGATATTTGTTCTAGATGCAGTCCCATATACTTCCTTCCTCTTCTATCCCTCCTCCCTTGCAGGATTCAAAAAGAAATCTCAGGAAGAAGGAACATCTAAAGGAAACAAAATGCCATGCCACTAGGGGGCTGCACTTCTTTTTCAGTTGATAACCTGACTCATGTTATATAAAGACAATTATCTGACTTTATTTATCTCCCTGAACATTGTCAGACATGCACCCTAAGAAATTCTGCCAAGGTATATGGTATCTGTACTGTTCTTACTACAGACAAAAATAAGGAAATGGGTCAAAACAAGAGGACTACTGAAGTAACTACTGAGTTTTATGAGAAGAGAGACTATTGAAGTGCTAGCAAAGAACAGAGGAAGCATTTGTGCTGGTGGGTGAGAGTAATGAAGTCTCCTGGGACACAGCACTGTAAGAAAAGTTTGGAAGAAGCTTCGAAGAAAAAAGGCTACAAGCTCTCTGAAGAGGACAAAGAAAGAATTCCAAGTAAGCACATTCATAGGCTCCGACATCTCTGGTAAAAGGCACCTCAAAAGAATTTTCCCGAAGCTTTCAGGAATAAAAATAGACAGGTTTACCCCAAGGCTCCAGACTGAAAAGGCTACACACACCACCAGCTACTGCAGACGTGATGCAGAACGACTATAACTAGGTGGGTCTTTACAGAGGGACTCTTATTTCCTGCAGCGCTGAGCTTGGCTCAGTGTGCCTGTAAGGTCAAGTTGCTCTGTGCAAATATAGTCTCGTGCTTCATCTGTAGCTTTTCACTGACTAACATGGAGAGAGAAGAGAATAAATAAATTCCCAGCAATCTCTTTCTTTTCTTCAACAGAAAGGAAGAGCAGAAAGAAGGAGAAAGGAGCAAAAATGTAACACAGCAGTGAAGAATGAGAAACTGAGGGCCCAGTGAGGGTAATGATAAATGTAAGTATGAAGGGAGTTATTAGAATTGAAGGAAGAGAAACTGCACAGAAGCTATGGGAATGTGAGACAAGAGATGAGAAAAATCAGGAGGAAGGAAAAAATGAAACAGTATAGAAAACATATCCTGACAGTCACTGTTTAACATTGCTCCCAGGGACAGAGTTGTCATCCCTTAGACTAAAGAAACTTCGCTACAGAATCCAAACAATAAAGGGAAAGAACAGGATCAGAGTAGTTTTTCCTCAAACAGATCAGGCCCCCAGCTTCTCATGTATTTTAACAATTGGATATTGGAACAAGTCTTAATCTCTGATCTCAGCTAGCCAGCTCTCCTTCCAAATCTGCTGTGGCTAGCACTCCTGGTAGCATCTCCCTCCTATCTCGCCTGTTTTTTTTCTTTCTATTTTCTGTTTATTACCTCCAACTGCTACCACTCTAAATTTTCCTTTTTTTGGGGTTTTTTTTTTTTTTTTTTTTTTTTGGCAGAAATCATAGTGACAGGCCTGTCTTTGAATTTCTCTAATTCAGAAAACATGAAGAATTCTGAATCTCACCAATTAAAACAAACTGTAACAGTGGTGAAAACTCCTGTCAAGTCAAGTAATTTGCTTGTCTTCCATACTATGAGCCAAAACTAAAAATGCTGCTTGCCTAAGGTATGGAATAAACAGAATATTCTATTAATATTTTTGAGCTTTTAAAGCTCACTTTAGTCAACTGACTTTTAAGAAAGCATAAGGAAATGAATGAGCGGGAAAGACTGTGGATAAAAGATGATGACAAAGAAAGCATAAGGAAATGAATGAGCGGGAAAGACTGGGGATAAAAGATGATGACAAATGACTGAACGGTGGTACAACAAAAGTTAATTTAATATGTATTATGTGTGATTTCTTTGCTAGACTTAAATTAAATTAGCAGGTATTAATAGAATCCACTTGATTTTAGACTTCAGATTTCTATTAACTATGGGTATGGGGGGATTTAATTAGGATTTTGTTAGAAGAATGAATATTATTCATCAGCAAAATACCTTCTTATATTAGGAAGAAAATATTTACCTGACATTTAGTAATTTTACCTCTCCTTCCCCAGCTACTAATATCATTTGCAAGGTCCACTTTGGCTTCTCATTTCCTCCACACACCCTAAATTCAGGCTAAAGATATTATGGCTTTAAGACAATACCTTGAAGAGACTTGACTCTTATTTCCTTTTCTTTCCCCTTGAAACCCTGCCCATTCCTACCCCATTACTGCCTCCCAAGCTCTGCTGACCAAGCTGAGGGAACCCTCCTGTTGCCACCTTGACTCAAGTTAACAACACATTTGGAAAACCTACTGGTGTTGCAGCATTGGCAGAAACTCAGTATTTCATCCAGCTCTAGTCTACTTCTGAAGAATAGAGTGAACAAATTACGTTTGAAAAATTAGAAAAAAATCTGTCTTGTTTTGGTATTATTTGGCTTGCTCATTCTTCAGCATGAATTTGTAGCTCATTTTATTAAGTGTTATCTTCTTGGATTTAGTTATWAAAAATAAAGGAAATAATATACTATATTATTGCCATTTATTCTGGATTTCACCGCAGACATCTTTTTCTCTGCAGGAAAATAGTTCTGGGAGAGGAGGAAGACATCAATAGGTATTTCCAGAAGGGAACCAAGTACTCCTTATTGCATTATTGGTAATTACCTGATCAAAGACATTAAAAGAATTTTTCTAGTGCTAAATACCAAGGAAAGTACAGAATGACCATGACATGCCACACACAGTGACAAATGATGACCTGCAAAAATTTCTGATGGCCACTGTCATCTACTTAGATAAGCAGACCTTATCTACTGAAGGAACTGTTCTATATTATTTTAAAGAATATAATATATTTGAAAATCTACAGTTTCCAAGCTAGTAATCAGTAATTTACAAATTCTAGCTTTAAATAAAGCTATTATCTTTCTCAACATTTCTACAGAAAGTTTATTGAAACACAACTCTTATACTGATCTGAAAAGCATACTGTTCTGAAATGTAACAGCACTGTTTCCTAAATATAAGCTTGTAAACAAGTAACATCTTTTTCTCTAAAAACAAAATAAAAAGCCATGTTTTTGCAAGCCAAAAGTGTGCTCTTGTATTACTATCTTTTAAATTTGGACACGCTGCTAAAAATCTTATCTTTCTGCAAGAGATTTTGAGAAAGAAGCTAAGAGTATCGTATAAAACTATAGAACAGTTCGTGGCAAGAAGTCTTGGCTTAATTCCAAAACAGTAATCAAAGCTACAAAAAAATGTTTATGTTATTAGATCAGTTGTTTTAGGCAGGTAAGATGTAAATTTTCAGTTGTCATTCAGTTTCATTTTTACTGAGGAAAACAAGAAATTGTCTCAATGCAGCCTCATTTTTAATTACTTTTCCTCTGATAGCCTTTCTCCTTACCAGGCTTACATTTTTCCCCATACTGTAAATTGCTACCTCTGCTGAGCACTTTTCTCTCCCCCATTCTCACTGCCAATATTATTAATTAGTAGCTTGGTAAATTCTAGTTGTTAGTATGACTTGTTATTAACAAGAACAAAGCCATACAACTATAATAAATGGCTGTCTCCAGAGGCATTTGCCTTATCTCATCTTGATTAGGTAGCTAAACCCTGACAAAAGTAAGGACCTATTGTGGAAGTGTAACACATTTTTTTCTCTTCAAATGTAAATCTTGGGTTTTTTTTGTTGAGCTAACTTCTGTGAAAATTACTTGGAAGAGCCCATAACAGACTTCAGATACTTCTGGCTAGCCTTGATGAGGGTTTATTTAAGCAGCAGTTCTAAAARCCTTGAAGTTTCCAATTATCTATACATAAACCATCAAAAAGATAAAATACTAAAATATTTGAAGGTGGGCAAGCAAAGATATAGTAAGACAAAGTCAGGGTGATTTCTCATATATGTATTTTTTGTACCATTCATCCATGTCCATGTATTCATAGGTGAATATATGCATACTGGACTGATCATGTCACAACCTACCAAATTATGAAGAAGAAAGGAAAGCAACAGTTTCCAACAAAGCAGTACTCCCTCCTGGAACCAACAGCAAAAACCACATGAAGGAAAGTTCATTCATTTGTTTCCAAATGCAGATGTCCTGTGTAGGTACACGACATCCCAGACTCCCTGTTGCATGGCACTTCTGCTCAGCACAGCAGTGAGATTCCTCCTCTCTGACTAATATGTTTACCTTGGAAGAAAGCAAGGTTATGTGCTACCCTTTGCCATCTGTCAGTAATTAGTAAAACTAATCTGTGGGCTACTTTGCATTCTTGCACCCTGATTTGTGTCACTTCCTTTGCAGTTCTCTTACCTTGTTTTCTGTATGCTCCCATCTGCTCTTCCATGTCCCACTCCAGAAGGCAGCTCGCATACTTCCTCTCTCCTTACTGTAACTGTTGCCACAAGCAGTCCAAGCAGCATCTTGCTGCACTGTACTTGTTGCTCTCCATCCTGGCTCTACATTTGCTTCTGCTTCCCAGCTGAAGGATTCAGAAGATGTGAAGTGTCCAGTTGTATCCAGGTTCTTGGTGTAAGAAGACAGAAATACAGCACAGGGCCCAAGTTCGGGAAAGCAGAGTYACAAAGCCAGAGGATATCCACAGGGTTGGTGCCAGAAAGCAGCACAGTCACTTTCTTTTCTTCAGAGGAACAGCATAAGGCTTTAGATTTTTAAAAGCAAGAGCCTACTTCAATACTTTTCCTCTTCCAGCTCTCCATGCCAGACCGCCTTTGTCCACACTTTGTTTCTGTAACAATTTTTGTAAAAGCTTCCTAGGAGAGTCTCTCCCCTGTTGCGCGACTGTGCATTCTGCACAGCGGGCTCCCACTGGATGCTCAGGCACAGGTGGGAGAGATGATGGGCYCACATGAGCCTCAATGGCAGCAAGGCTGCCTATCCTGTTAGAGGCACATGAAGCTTGGGTGCTACCCATGGTGGTATCTCAGGTAATACAGGTAATTCCTGATATACAGGGAAAATAAACAGTATCTCAAACAATGCCATGCATTTGCTGTCAGCAATTCTTACCTTTCAAAAGATATTGCAACAAATCAGAACCCTAGCTTGTTTTGTTTTTCTTTCGATATTCATTTTTAACATTCAGAAAGGCACTTGCTGGTGTTTTCAGATGAGATGGAAATGCTTTCATTGACTCCTGGAGTGGGTCTAGTATCAGACTTGGAGAGAGCAACTATTCTCTTTCATCCCACTGTTACTATAGGGACAAAGGCTTGCTGAGGTAAACGGGCATGAATTAGGTGGAGTCAGATTATTTTTACAAATAAAGCATGCAGCTCATAAAATCATTCAAAGAAGCCTTTAACTGTCTGTTCTGTATCTGCTTATATGTAACTTCTTAAAGAAATACATTTTCCATCACTACAGTTCTTGTGAATTATGAATGAATGTTGAAAACATTGGTAGTGATTTGATGATAAATTTAAATGGAATAGCTTTCCTAGAAAAAGAGGGRAAAAAAAAAAAGAAAATCAGTGCACCATCACCCCACATGCAAAGATCCTGTTTTTGCAAGTGATGTGTTCTTGCAGTTAGTTTTATCTTTACACATTATACTATCATGTTGCCAAGTCCCCATTCATGCTAAGACCACAAATTTGTAGATAATAGTTCCCAAGTATCACAGTACGATCTGCTCTTAACTACAGCAAATGAGTAATAATTCATTTCAATTTCACAGCAGTTTAAGATGTGTCTATTAAAGCAGCTTGACTTTTTACTGTTTCTAATAATTCAAAAAAAAAAATCTCCAAAACAAATCACAGTGTAAAGAACCTAAATTACAGTGATCAAACCCTACAATTCTCAGTACCAAACCATGCTGCACTGCTATAGGCTCTACACCAGTTTACAACTCTATTTAGCTTGCTGATTTTTTGTTTGATATGATCCAGTTCATAAGTAGACCTTAACACCTATGCAAAAATTCACATATGATATCTTAACAGATAGCTGGACACTTAACCTCCCCTTCTTTGCAACTCATCTACAAAAAGAAAAAGCCCTTCATATTCTTTAGTATTTGTCAAACAAACCTTCTATTTGAGCTCATTCTCCATCATCATTACAGTGTAACAGAAGCCTTTTAGAAGGTCTGAATGAATCTTTTAAAAAAGAAAAGCTGTCATGATCATCAGAGACTAAATAGTCTAATTCCTTTTCTGCCCACATRTTTCTAATCATTGAAATTCAACTTGCTTCTGCTGTTAGTGCTTCTCTCACTGCTACACACATCACCTCTTCTGCCATTTTGTTTTTTATTATCAGAGGCATTTATACTGATAATAGTCATGAGTATTATCAGCATAAATTTCACATATACTACCTGCTGCTGCCTCTCTGCTTCCAGTTCTGTTAGTTCTCCCACAGGCTTGTACAGAGCACTTAGGTGTGAAATATTTCTGAGCTATCTTAATGCAGGAACATTGCTGATAGAATGGGAGCGTTAAGTAAATCAGCCCTCTTTTAGGGATAGTTTACCTTACACTCAGGATTTGTTCAAGCTGACTTAGTGATAAGTCTGTTTCGAGTCCTGTTCTGTTTTAAACACAACTATCATGCTAATCTGTGATTCTTTCATACACTGCTTTCTTTTGTGAGAAATGATATTGTATTGTACTGACATTGTCACTGGAGCTGAGCTAGTACCATTCTGAAATGAAAAGGACAAGCAGGACGCAGCTCTAAGTTGTTACTCTAAATTGAGAAGTCTCTCAGTCATAGCTTCTTTAAGTTTCTTGTAAATCACTGTAAATTCACTTTAGAAGATCAAATCAAAACAGAGCATATGTCTGTAGGGTATGTGGTAGAGTGTATGTGGCAGTGCAGAGAGGTCAGACTAGCGCTGGTATATCTGCACAGAACAATATTAACATGTTAGTGATGCACTGTGTCTGTGCTCACAACTCCTGCTCTCGTGAAGGCTTACCAACCATAACGCAATACCAGCTTGACATAGTCAGCTACAGGTTCCCTGCAGCAGCAGTGATCTGTAATCAGATCGAATCCTTGTTTGGTTCAAAGAAATTTGCTTGTTCATTATCACCATCTTTAATAGCATTTTTATTTATGGAGATGAAGTTACTATGTGAAATCTGCTCACTTCAATGCAAGTATCATCCCATTAGGGGCAAGTTCATCAAAAAATATATAAAAGCAAACAAAACTTGAAATTAAAAAAAAAAATTAAACCAAAACCAGCATTAGAAAACAACAACAATTCTCAAAAAGTGAGAGTTCTTGACATCTTAAATATCTGAAGAGGATTTTGGGGTTTTTTTTTGCATAATTCTTCTTCATTCTTTGCTCTTATCTGTGGAACAGTTCTGCATAAGCTTCTGCTAGGCAGAAAGGGAGAGAGTACACTGCTTCCTACAAAATACCTCTGGCCATCTCTTACAATTTTCCTGTGTTCCTCTTCATCTGCAACACTTCAAATCTTCCTCAGAATATTCTTCTACAGTAACAGCTGTTCAACCTTGTAGTTGGTGTCAGACTATTTTCTAAGTTTTGACTTCTGTGTCTGACCTTACTTTACTTCACTTTGAAAAGTCTTAGGTAATTTTGAGCAGGTGCTTACGATCTTCTTCAAGGCGTTTGCTTTTGTTCATAGTTACTAGGCAGAAATCAGAAATCAAACAGGAGGAACTGTACAGAGGACACAGATCAACAGCAACATCCCAGAGCTGGTGAGTGGGTGAGGAACATGTTACAACCACACTGATTCTCAGTTGGTCAAACAAATGATTATATCCCTATATATGTGTGTCACAGAATTCTGAGAACAATAGTTATCACCAGAAAGCAAGTTTAAAATTAGAAGTATGCGACGATTCACATTAACCCTAAAATTCACAAGTTAACTGAGTAAATATATAGAAAGTGTTTAAAAAAAATAATGAACACAGAATCACAGAATATTCAAGGTCGGAAGGGACCTCTASAGATCATCTAGTCCAACCTTCCTGCTCAAGCAGGCACACCTAGAGCATGTGGCACAGGGCGGCATCCAGGCGGGTTTTGAAGACCTCCAGAGAAGGAGACTCCACAATCTTCCTGGGCAGCCTGTTCCACTGCTCTGTCACCCTAACAGTCACCTGGAGATGGAACTTCCTATGTTTCAACTTATACCCATTAACTTATACCCAACACAAGCAAAATCTTTCTTCTTACGATAAATGYTGCCATAAAGAAAGAAATTAAGACAGGTGAAAAAAAATACCCCTTATAGGGATTCCCTCACAGGAAATTTCTATCTAAACTTTAACAGGCAGATCGACAGGATACCAAGCTTTTTCAGCCCCGGCAAACAAAACTCATCATTAACAAGTAAGATCATTTCAGAAAAACATCTTCTGAGAATGCTAGTTTTTCTGATAACTACAGGAAGATTTTTTTTTTTTCTAAAAGCACCCTTCTGAGATAGCTTTTGTCTGTCAGGACTAAACGAAGGGAGTCCAAGAGATCCTCATGAAAGACCCAAGTATGTAACATGGCAGCCATGTTTCACTGCCACTGCCTTGATGTTAACTATGAGTGCGGATGAAAAGGTTTCTGGTGAGAAGATTAATTTTCTTTTGGTTGCTCTTTTGTCATAGCACCAAGCAGGTAAGAGAAAGATTTTGATTAGAATTGTTGGAAACTATAATCCTATCATTAGTCAAAGGCCTGAAGGTGAGGCTGAATTGGCAGGAGCAAGTCTATGAAAATGAGGAGTATTTTCCAGGGAACATGGCAGTATGATGCTTAAGGTGTTTGGCTAATGCCCAGCTTGATTGCACAGCTCAGAACAAGCCTTTTGTGTTATGAAGCTCAGGTAAAAGACAGAGACCATGGCCAGTCATGGCCTGACAAGCAGTCTCAAACAGATTTGCCTTCTGCTCTGATTTGGGAATTTCACAAGGAGATTCACTGCAATGCTATTTTTAACAGAGATCCAGGACAAAACTCATGAATTCGGTAAGCAATATTTCCTGCTGTCTGTTTCCTTTGAAGAGATGACTCAGTCTAGGTCCTGCCCCTTCCTTCTTTGAAAACATCAGTATTTAAGCTCTAAACCTCTTCTCTAAAGGAACTTAATACTTTGGWCCACACTGCATTTGTGCTGCTATTAGTAATTAAATGCTTAGCTTTTAGAAGCTGTACCTGACTTTACCACCCAGGAACACACTCTTTATCATTAGTACTGTCATATATAAAACTATATTGGACTGTAAGGGCAGAGAAATCATTTGTTCTGCCTCCCCCACACACACCTCTTCCTCTTATTCCACGTTTTATTGTCAGCTCCTTGATCATCTGAAAGCAGCTCCAAGGGCTGCTGAATCTGCCATACTTAATCAGGAAATGAAAGAGAAGATACAATTGATTTCAAAAAAATCTGTTATTTTGGAAAGGGCAGAAAGTAAAGTGAAAAGCACCCAAGGAGTTTCCAAGAAATGAGGACAGAAGGAACAAAGATGTTCTAATTTTCAAATACGGAAGTGATACAGTTTACTTTCACTGGCCCTTGTTACTAGTAGTCCTGATTTCTAGGAAACTGACCTTTCAGAATAATCAGTGACATCCTTCTGATCTTGGAAATGCTACATGTATCACCATCAGCTTTGTAGAAAAACAACCATGTTAATACCTAACTTCTGCAAACAGGTTTCGAGCAGACAGATTCCTGATATACAGTTAGGTCATGATACAACTGCAGAGGCAAGTATGATCTTCCTGAACAATATGAAGATTCACAAGTGTCTTAGTTAAGGTAGAAGACATAGAACAGAGGCAGTCAGGAGAAAAAAATCTTTCTCAGAAAAGGCATTAGACATGGAATTGGACAAATTTCCTTCCTCTGCAAGCCACCATGGATACATGTGTCCAGATGTAATTTAAATATCACAACGAACAATAAATTTCATGTTTGTTGTTAATGAATTTCATAACAAAAAAGAAATGTCACCAATTATCCACAGAAGGTAATCACACTTTGAAATCTACTGTGCTGCAAGCATAGGTCAAAAAAAGCCCAGCAAAATGCTTAGATGAATATCTCTGCATTCAAGGTAGTAACTTTATTTTTCCTTTTTTTTTTTTTTTTTTTTTCCCCTCACTTATATTATGTCACTTAATACAAACAGATTTAGCATCACCGGTGAATTATTACTGAAATGAGATTCCTATTTTGAGAGAGAATTTTCACATTATAATGTATTTGAAGTCAACTTATCCTAAACAAGACATCTTAGGTTAGATAAAATCCTTTTAAAAACTTAAATTACTTTTCCGTTCCATTCTCCAACCCAACAAACCCTCACCTACACCTGAATTACTGCATACATAAAACTTACACCAAAACGGATACCAGACCTCTATGGCATAAAATATTTATCCTCCCTTAGGCCTCTGGACTTCCTAAATTCAGATGAGTTGTTCTCAGTTATCATTATTCACTTCTAAATTGTGTTCTAATATCATGTGCCACATTTCCTGAATGCATAGCGAACAGTGTTTCCAAATGGTTTTTTTACACCATTGGAAGCTTGCTGTCAACACACTCCATTCCCCCAGGAAGAGTAAGAATTGAAACATGAGTGCAGAGAGAGAAATATTCAGGATAAATTACTGCACAGCCTGTCCARCCGGCAGTAAAATGAAATTAATATAAAATAAACATTGGTCTTTATCTACATAATCTTTCTAAAAATGTCACCTTTTGGTCTTATCTGCTTTATTTTATTAAAATTGAGCTATCATTTCTGTTGATATTACCCTAAAGGAAGCTGCAGAGCTAGAAGCTGGATGAATGACCTCTTTCTGCTATACTTCCCTTCCTAGGAGTCCTTTCTTTATCCTCAAGTTCTAGCTCTTCACCATTTCACTTCTTCAGCATCTCACTGGTAAGAGTATTGTAAGAAAACTCATGTATTTTTCTTTTTTAATTAACAAGTTTTTTGTTAATTAATTTCCCTTCATTATTTAGTCTCTAAAACATCTGTTTTAAATTAGACTTAACAGAGCACTGGCAACAAATAGTAATATTTACATACAGATATAAAATAGAAAAGCTTCTCTAAAATTTACCCAAAGATAACATGAAATAAAATGGAAGAAGACATTATGTCTATTATATCACAGTATTATATCACAATAATCAACGTACAGAGAATATCGTGTCAGTTAACTTCTATTGAAGGCATCATCATTACTTATGAGCTGTTCTGTAATGTCTTAGTCTCTATTCTCCTTGAATCAAGAAATTGTAACCTTTAATACACTTTTTTGAAATCTGATCAATAAGCTATTTTTCTTTCTCTGGAACTTATGTTTTCTTCTTTCTTATTCTTTTTTGCCTCTTCTTTTTCTTTTTTTTCCCCTTACTGTGTTCTGTTTCTCCCTGATCTATACTGACATAACTACGGTACCTGCTGCTGTGGGTTCTGCTGTTGCTTAGCACTACTCTACTCAGCAGTGGGATACCGCTAAGTATTTTAAGTAACTGCCTACCCATCAAGCATGTGTGAAGACGCTATTGAACTTATTGGGATTAACTGCTAGGTAAAGTGTTAGCCAACATAAATAAATCAAACAGAAATTGATCTTCAGTGCCTTACTTGAATTATGTCAATAAACAGACCTATGGGTCTCTTGTGTTAATTCAGAAGTAATAAACCTGAATTTTCTACATTTCATTGATTCATGTCCACAGATAACACTACAGGCAACAAGCTTAAAAAATATTCAGCTTAAAAATGCAGTACAGATTGAAAACTCTGAGCTTCTCAAAGAAAATCCATGCAATCAATTTATTGGATATAAACACTTTTACTGGATTTACTGGATAGAAACAAATATACAATGCTTGAGTGAATGAAAAAACAAATCAAGGGGAATTCCAAATACTAGGCTCCAACCTCCTTCCAACTTTCTTTTTGGATACAACTGAAGCAAATTACCTGACCCTTCGTTTGCATCTGCATCCTTTCCTACAATTATTAACCTCTTTTCCCCTAACGTTTTTCTCAATTTCCTTGAGAAATGGAACTAGGCAGAGCTGAATAGTTATAAACAAATACCAAATGGTCCTGCCACCAACTGTTCCAGAAAAACTGTCACTGATCCAAGATGATCAATGAAAAGGATGAAAATTAAGTTAAAACATCAGAGCAAGTACCAGCTGAGCTAGCAACATTGCCTTATGAGGTTCTGCCAGTGGTTAGCCAGCAAACTATGTCTGTGGAACTTATGTAGAAGTTAGAGACTTATAACATTATGCAATGCAGGTCTCAGTGATACACTTCATGCCCTGCTTGTGCACTTCATGTCCTAGGCAGGCACAATCATCCATTAATTTCAAATTGAAACAATGACAAAACACCAAATAAATAATTAGTTTGAGGGTTATTTTTATGGTAAGTCAGCAGTATGGGTATAGTACCTTAGCATCTACTTATTGAAAAGAACAAAGAATGAAAACGTACTTCCATTTGCAAAAAGAAATCTTCTAGGGAATGTCAATTGTAACAGTTTTAAGACCTCAGACTCAGGCAAAATATCATTTTCACAAGGCAGCCTTTGCGATCAGTTAAAAAATAAAAATGATGGATATTAAATCATGCCTTTTGGTTACTTCTGGCTGCCTGTTTTTCATTTTTATTTTCTTCCTCATGCCCTTAGGAACTCAGATGAAAGAAAAAAACAGGTATTTTCTTACAATGGCTCCTTATTTTCATAACTCTGATATATGCAAGAAATGATGATTAGGAATCTAAAAGCAAATGTGGAATGAAATAAATATCCAAAATGCATTAGCTTACAAGGAAAGCTGTTCCCTAGAGTGATACTACTATTTAATGTAGGTTTAAATTAACAACCTAGTATTTATGTAATAATTTATGACTACAATTGACTCCCCTTATTGATTTCTTTTTGGCAAGGCTTTGAAAAAAAACGAAGGGAAAAAACCAAAACTCTTCCAAAGCTCAGGAAGCTACCGAGGGAAGATGTCTTTATTACCAGAAGTAAGCTGAAAGGGTCGTGTTTGTATCATTCAGCTTTCATTACTATACCACTTAATGTCTCTTAAAACATCCTTTCTCATCTTTTTGCTCCCACTCTACTCTTACCCTTGCAGAAACATAAATTAGAACAATATAGGGAATCCATGTAGCACTTTTTCTGCATTAGAAGCATTCTGACAGAAAGTAAAAAAAAAAAAAGAATAATAATAAAAAAACCTCTGTCACAATAATCAGGTGCTACCTGACAGAAGATGCTATCACATTTACTAATCAGAAATTTGATATCGTTTCCTTTGCATCGGAAGGCCATACTCATTATAGTAGAATTTATTATTCTAGATTTATGTTTGTACAACTTTTAAAAAGAGCACAAAATCTTTTAAATTACCTCTGCCTCACAGACTACCAAACGAATTCTGGCTTTTACACCTTTTTTTTTTTTTTTTTTTTTTTTGGGGTAAATCTACTGTCCTCCATAAAACTAGAGCCCATCTTTGAGTTCCACAAAATGCAGAAAGCACAGCAATCTGCTTTGGAATATGCACCTTTCATTTCACTAGGAGAACAAACTCTATAGCACAGCATGAAGTATTGCAGCATGAAGTATTCTTCCCAGTATCACATCAGCTAATTATTATAAACATTTGCTATTTATAGTTTGCTTGCAAGCAGCATTTTACATAAGACAAAGGAAAAAAAGTTAGAAAACTGACATCAAGTCTAGATTTATCTCAAAATATAAAGAACTCAGTTACCTCTGAAGTTTATACTAGAAGGCGGCAACCAGCACATGAATCCTCTTCTGTATYACACACAGTTATATTCTTTAGCATGGTGTCCAGATTTCCAAGTTCTATTTTACACTGCAATTATAAATTCAAAAGAAATCCTTAGTCTCCTATTTTATTACCCTCTTAAAGAACAGCAGTAAACTTGGGAGATATAAATTTCCAGTGTAACAATGTGGCAATCTACAACATCATTTAGCTTTTAGTTATGACTGTCAATGTATACAGCTCTTAATATGTCAGCAAATTTGCAAAACTGTCAAACCAGTGACAAGTAATTGCAATACAATTAGGTTTACAATTTAGATCTAAAGCTATATAGTTACAATACACAGTATGTGGATGAGTAGGCGCATGCACATACTTACCAAAAAGAGGGAGATGCCCCTACACATCCCTTTCATTTTTTTTTTATTTATTTTTTTATTTATTTATTTTTATTCTGACAGGATGTAATTAGGAATGAACAAACAGGACAGGACACATTCACGTTGATTAGTTACTCTATGGTTTACATTTCATTAGCACATACAAGTCATTCTTCTTCAAAAAGTAAACTACAGCTCTCAGATTTTGAATTAGCTATAGAAATGAGATAATTAAAAAATATATAATAAAAATATATAATAAAGGAAGAAAAATACCAGGGAACTACCAGACACATTACCTAAATCAATATCTTTGCTTAAAAATAATACTATAAAATCATTATTAACGTAAGTGTTGATGATCCACATTCCATTGGTTCATAAAACTTGACTGTCATCTACATTGTTATCAGTATTTTCTGGACCACTTTATACATATAGATTGAGTAGGTTGAATTTTAATTCCAGTGTTGTAATAATACTCCTGGTAAACTTGATTTGGCTTTCAAATCACTGCAGCAATGCAGTTGAAAAAATTAAAACTTATTTTACTATGAAAGAGTATAAACAAATCATTTTCATTTCACACTAGTTGCATTTATTTTTTATGCAGGTACTCTTCCCTCATCTTTAAATATTACACTGATTATTATCTTGCTGGAAATTAGGAATGAACAGTAAGATAGGTCAGAAATTACTGTCTGTGTTTTAACTTTCATAATCTCTAAAGTCTAATCTCTGAAGTCTCAGAAATGCATACATGCTAATAACAAACCTATTTTTATCCTTATGATGCGAGCTATAARCATCTTTCCTTCCTATGGCTCTAAAAATGACAACCATTAAACATTCCCTGGAGAAAGTGTCATACTTGCCGCTGCACAGACATGTCAGTCTTCTCTATTTTGTTGCAGTTAGGATGGGGGGAAGTCAGAATAATTTAGGAGAAAATAAGCCTAGGTGGGTAATGGGAGGTTGATTTACATAAGAAATTATTAAAGATTCTCTTAGCTGACAAGACTTAATTTAAACAAAAACCAAAGAAGTAGGAATAAGAAATGGATTTTCGGAATGAGCAAAATTGCAACGAAAAAACATGTATGGGGTTTTGCCGAAAGTGGACTGAGAAGGATTATTTTCATTATCAGTTTAACAGTAGTACTTATGGAACCTCACTCTGATGATGACTGTAGAGGGGGTTCCAGTTCCCCTATATTTAATCTACATACAACAAAGAAAATAGTAGAGTGGAAAGAAGGAAGGACTTGCCCTTTTTACTCAACAGAGGATGGAGACATGGGACACCTGAGGAACATGAAACACAGAACACTTAGATGGCATGTATCACACCCCTGAAATTTTAACACCATTCCAAGCTACTGAAAAGTGCTATTTTGGCACAATTCAGTGAGTAGCTTCACATGATCTGGACAAATGCACTCCGCACTGAGGCCTTAAACCAGATAGTATTACTTAATCCATTCAGTGTTTCTGACTAGCTGTAGCTAGACCTTTAACCAAAAAGTGTAAATAATCACCAACCAATAAACCAAAAAATGCACAACACTTCTTTCTTTGACTTTAGTCAAGACATTGCAGAGCAAATTTCCCTTCAAAAACACCACTGGAGCTAGTTAAGTTGGTGGTGATAGAAGACCAATTTAACTAAAAACAATAACATGAGACAACTGTTTATAAATCTAACACGCATAAAATGCCTCTTCTCTGTTTCACCATTTAATTAAGATTTGAATTTTATGAGAGAAAGGTTCTATTGCAGAGAAAAAATTTGATTGGGAGATCAGAAGCATATACTCTTTATAGCTCTACCATTTGTATTATTAATTTTTTCATAAATTCAGAACAGAAATGAGCAGTGAGACAAATTATTATCAATAATCTAAAATGTCTGAATAATGCACACGCATTAAAGTTTTTGGCAGGAATAGARAACAGGATACAGAAGTAAAAATCTCTAGAATATCATGCTTATGCTTTCCATCTTGTCTCTGTCTCATTTCAGTTTGTAGCATTAGAGTTAGTGCTCCAAGTTCCTTTCTTCTATCGGGAATTACATGGACATTTAAACTGAAGAAGCAGCTATAAGGTATGCTGCCAAGCCTCAAGGTAAGTGAAATAACAGTTCCTACACCTGTGCTTTGTATTTTAACCATTAATGTTCACATGCAAGTTTTTCTTCATATTCACATGGCCACAATATGATCATTTTCACTTGAAAGCTATGTTCTGGCCTGTACCACACCTTTAGTTTTCCTGGTTCCAGGACCCTGGAATAGGATACTGCTTAGTATTCTCTTGACAGAAATAAGAAGTTCAACCCTGAGAGGAAAACAAGTTTTACCTTTCCTCTCTGTATTCTTTCATTTTCCCAGTTTATCCCAATCCATACAAAAATCCAAGATGTTAACTCTTATTAACACCAACTACAAGAAAAACAAATCAGAATAATCCCAATAGATTTTCCCTAGCAAATTTACATTCTTCTCAGAACACATGTGCATGCCTCCTCAGCTCCATACAGAGAAAGATTTTTTATCTTATTTAAAGATAATGACAGTGTTGTCAGTGGAATAACTGTGCTGCAGGATTCATTTATAGTTAAAATTAAATCAGTGTCTCTGTGCCTTGAAGACCTCCTAAATAGATTGTACACACAAAATAAGACAGTCTTGTAGATGCAGGGGATACGAAGAACAGATTCTGAAAAAGAAAAAAAAAATCCAATGTGTTAAAATGGAAATCTTTTCAGTTAAAAACTTAAGCTTGGTGGGGAGAGTAGAGAAACAAGAACCAATAAAGATGATGAAAACTGAAGAGACTTTCTACATTGTGTTCTTTGTCATATGCGATGAGAAAAAAGATTGGTGATCATCTAAGTCATGCAAATTAAGTGAATAAAAGGACTGCTTGCCATATAATTAGAAAGGGAAAAACAAGCAAAGTGATTCACATTTCTATTAGTACTAACTGAAAACAACAGTGTCACATCACTGTAAAATCATTTATACAGCAAATACTCTGATTTAGCTACATCAAACTCTTTTAGCAATAAGCATTAAAGACAACAGATATGTGAACAGAATACTAGGCTAGTGTGCATCCAACTACCTCACTCATCCTTGATGCCAATTAACTTGAGATAAACATCACTTTTGGTATTTGACTGGAGGTGAAATCCTGTTCTGTATTAGATACATTCCTACTAGAAGAGCACTGTTACCGGTTGCTTATGAAACCCATCAAATCAACCATACGTTGAGTAGATATTTTGCCATTTTGAGACTTGCTCTCTGGTCAAAAAAGTTTTGCCCTATCTTTAAAAAGAATATAAACGCTCAAGCAAATAGCTTCTTTTTTGGCAGATTGATACACACAAAAATCCTTGTGAGAAGAAAAATAATTTCATGCCTGCTGATCAAAATATTTCCAAAGAATATAAGAGTATGATTGCACATATCAAAGGAAGGAAGGTCTTTTTAGTCTAATTCGCCTTCTCATGGCACCAGATGCTTAAGGCAAAAATAAATAAATAAATAAATAAATAGCCTTAGTTCTGGCACTTACCATCTTTGCAACATAATCCATTTAATTTTACATGGATTGTAATCGTATGTTGTTACAAAATCACAACTGTTTTTCCCAAATAATCCCAGACTCAGTTACTGCTACATGTGAATGCTACTCAATTAAGCATCATTAGGTTCCATTTTGCTTAATCCTTGTTGTTCTTTATAAGATTGGTATATTTATTGCATGACAGTCAAAATGCAATTTAAAGACAGAATGAGTAACACTGGATGAATGTGTCCATGTTTCTCACTATTGCTATTTGTGCATTTCATGAAAAATAATGGATTATTCTTCAATATACTCCTATGGGAGGATGAATTATCATAATTCTTATATAAATTGAAGCTAAGAGAAAATCATCTTAGAACTGCAAAACAGTAGTTTCATTTGCTCAGAACTTCTGAAAATCAGATCTCAAGCTGGTAAACCAAACTGAGGTACATACCATTAATAACCACCTCTGCTTTCCAATTCAGGTGACTTAATCAGAAAAACATAGAATACCAACTGAAGAGGGCAACATTTAACCCTGATATCAACACCTGATATCTTCCACTTTATTCTGTCTCCTCTTAGATTTACTACGCCACTTAAAATCTCTACAACAAATAGGGCTTGCACAATATGAAATGCCTTCTATTTAGCAACCCTGATGCATATGCTTCAAGCAGGGTCTACTCTGTTCAAAAATCAGCACAAAATCCATGGAAAAAAAATATCGTACAAGTGTGTCACATAATAATACACCTTCCTGCAAACTCTCAGGAGAGAGAAATTAAAAAATAATGTCAAAGTCAATCTGACAAAAATGACTACTCTTGTCAACATACAAGCTCATGATCCTTTGCAATAAAAGTTAGTATAATTATTCATACAGTATTCAAAATGAGCAGAACTAAACACCAAATATGTGTTTACTAGAGAACGGTAACTAAACTAAACGTTTATATTGGGCATTCTTATAAATTTGTTGTTCCATTTGCTGCTGAAGTGGCAAAAAATCTGGCTTTGACCCCTAAAAATATTTTCCATGTACCTATACTTAATATAAATTTTATATATTTTTAATATGTTTACCTTTCATATTTTAAAAACTTTTAAAATTTATCTTTTATT